GGTTTTATGTTTACGCGGCGCGATGCAACGCAACACGTAAAAAGACAGTATAAGTCATTATAATCCATAATTATGTCCCCACTGGATGCAACGAATGCCTCATTTATAATGGGTTTTCATGTTTTTGAAGCATCGCTCCGGCCTGACGGCATCATCACAGTATGGTAAGGGGCGTAACATTTCCATCACACGCTTGAGGTATTCGGCCAATCACAACGCACTGGATAGCTGGCCAATCACAACACACCTTGCTATTCTGACCGATGAGCTTTGTAAAAATCGACGCGTTTCAGAAAGGCGGGGCATAAAGGAGAAACAATAATGTACAGTATGTGGAAAATAATGTGTTTTTTTAACCTTAAACCGCATAAACACATTTCATTACACCAAATACACAAAATAAAAATAAGAAATAAAAATAAAAATAATAAAAATACACATATGTGCACTAACTTAGACCTAAATAAATACAGGTTCAGTAACTAAAGAGCTGCAAAACAGTCAATCATCAGGAACGCAGGAAGATAATGTACAACTCAACCCACATCGGAAACATTAAGATGTTGGTTGGCCAGCTAGTTTGTCTAAATAAATATCCAAGAAATGATCCCCAGAGAGTGAAAAACTTTTCAATGGAGTTAGACCTTAGAAATCAGAGTCTCCAAAATTAGTTTTCTAACCAGTTTTTCTCAATAATTCTGACAACAATAAATTTGACAACATTTCATATTAACAGAATTTATGCGCTAATTGAAAAAATAAAATATTGTGTCGACCTTTGTGAAATTTTTGATTCAGGTGAAAATGAGCCCTAATTAACTGTTAATCTTTTGCTATGATGACTTCTGATCTAAACAGTGTTCAGGCCACCCAAAAGTCCTATATTCCCACCTACAATAAAAGCATTTAAAAAATCATGTGTATTACAAAACTCCTCTCTTTACCTTTGCTTGACCCTTCAAGTCACCTTTGAGATTCTCTCTTTAAAACGCACTTAAAATGTGAAGCAGCACTTGATTAAAACAGCTAATTTAATGTGCTTCACACACTAATTCATCCATCTCTGTCAGAAAGTGTGATGGTGCTGGAAATCAGTTTCGCTCACAAGATGTTTATATGACATCAGAATTTATGGCTCCAAATAGATTGAGGTTTTTAGGCATATAGTTGTTCTTTTGGCGTGTAACCTTTTAAATAGACTGTCAGAAAAAGATGGATCTGCTATACTTTTATAGCCACCCTTTTTCCGCTCCCTTTCTTTTTTGCACTGATACTCACACACATATAGGGTTTTTTGTCTTAGTCATTGTGTCTGTGGTAGTGTGTGAAAGAAGAGATGCAGGGTAGAGTGGCTCCAAAGAGAGCATCTTTAATCAGCATCCGGAGCTGGAGATTAAAGAGCTCTATCTCATCCTCTGTGTCTCATTCAGAGCTTTAGCTGGACACTTACACGTACTTACTGACACACACTTTGACCATATACACTAACACATAGACTAGCATACACGCTTTTATGGAAGAAGAACTTGCCATCGTAAATTATTCATAATTTACTGATTCTGCCTAATTCTTCTTTTTTCTCTCTTAATTTTTCCTTTCAAAAATCCTACTGTGTTTCATACCATTTAGCTCTGACTAAATTCACAAATGGCATGTAAATAAGTGTGCACAACATGCTTCTGAATTTGAGTGAAAAACACCTGTTAAGCAATTAGACCATACATGAAACAAATAATAATGCAAGCTACTAAACACGGGTGATGTATAGCTGTGAAACATTATGTTCTCATCATATCCAATGACCTTCAGTAACTGTTGATTCTGAAAGTCTGGACAAAAATATTTGTGTAATGCCTTTGTTGTTTTCATGTTTATTAATGTTTGTTCACGAAAGGCAGGGATTCCCAAAGAGTTCTCTCTTCATATCGGTTAATGGACACAATGACATGCAGGTAAACAAATAAAATATTTCTACTTTTAGTGTCCAAGTGTTTAAATTATTTTTATTTTAGCTTTTTTATCAACTCCCAAACCCACTGCAGTTATTACATTAAGCCCAGTTTGGGGAAACCATGGTGTAACGTAATGTTTAATGCATTTTACAGTGTTTTTATAAAAAAAACAAATATATTTTCTTTCTCTTCTCTTTTTTATACCAATATGGTATCCTCGAATCCGAAAAAAGTTAGCTCGCCTGTGTGGGAGTTTTTTAGGTTCCAGAAAAAAAGACACCCCAGTCTGTAAGAAATGCAGATTTTTGTTCACTTTTATGGTTACAAACTCTATATCACTCTCTGCCTTCCTACACATGCATTTTAAGTGTTATTCATTTGCCAAACAAGAGAAAGGCCAAAATAAGCAAAGGTAAATATGAATTTGATTAATAGCATTACATATTAAATATACTGAATGGTAAAACTTTATTTTAAGGTGTCCTTGTTACACATGTTACATGTACTTACTATTATAATAACCCTAACAATAAATTGTTCATAATTACATCCCAGTAACCCCAAGCCAACCCCTAACCATTAATTAATATTACTCAGTGCTTAAATGTATAATTACACTGTAACAAGGACACCTTAAAATAAAGTGTAACCTATTGATTTTTTTTATATCTAATTTACATTAAAAAGAATTAGATATTTACACTCGAATGGTAATATGACAAATAAAACTGCCTAAATGATCGTGATTTAGTCAGATTTTCTGATGTGTAATGTGTCAATACCTTACATGCTGTTTTTGCATAGTATGTGAAACAGGCGAGATACTGTGAGAAACAAGTCAATTGCAGCCAAACATCTCGCATACCCTTAGTTGAAAATTGTTGGTCTCAGAGTTTGTACACAATGACTGTACAGGTTTGCTGTTTAGTTTTTATTGAAGTTAAAAGCTTTCAACTCTGCTGAGAGAAAGAGAGCGAGAGAGACAGAGAGAGAGAATTTGGCTGAGCGTAACTAAAGCTGGCAAGAAGTATTCCTACATAATTAATAGTCTGAGGTGTAAGACAGGATGCCATGGTGTTTTAGCCTTGAGTAGATAGTGACAGCGTATTTTGGCACAAGGCTATCATTCTATGCCAGAAAAATGCTCGGTCACATGCTTGTGTCTGTGTGTTTTTGTTTATTTGTGCAGTCATGTATAATTTGTCCAACAAGTTCCCCGAGACATTCTCAACAGGCACACAACAGCAGCACAATATCCTTCCACCCGTGAATAACCCAGCATCAAATAAGAACGGTGGGAATTAATTACATACTTTTTTACGCAGATCCTGGTTGGATACAATGATGACATTGGGTGGATCTCCAACAGCAGTGGCAGCTCCTCCGATGTTGGTGAAGATGACCTCGGCAATCAGGACATGCCTGGGGTCCAGATTGAGCACTTCACATAACCTAATGTACAGAAGACATTACAAAACCTGATTAGGACTAATGTTCCAGGAACATCAATTCAATGCAAAACATGTTACATAGAGTGGTCTCCAAGAAAGTTAAATGCTCACTAGTCATTTTTTGAGAAAAGATGTACTATTATCTTTCTAATCCATCATATTTTCATGATTTTTGTCATCCTTCCCCCTAGTAAAAAAGTTATTTATTTAAAATACATTTATTCCATACTAAGTATAGTTAAAATCAATTAACATATTTACTGACATATCGCGTGAGACTTACTGATATAAAAGTTATAATCAACTTTATTTGGAGTACTATACTTGTACTGGAGTACAACTTTATTTTGAGCACAATGCACATTTTTTTATACTAAGCCTAAAATGGGTTTTAATGTCACTATTGATGAGGATTGCATAATCTTTGAATAATATATTAATATATCGAATAATAAACTGTATACTGTATTAGTCTTTAAATGCAAGATATTTAAAGTGTACCTGAAGTATACTTGCAACAGTTCCACTTTAGCTAAATCAAATATACTTCAGTGTATCTTTAGTTGGACTTCAGCACTACTTACGCACAATTAAAGTGCAAAATTAGTTGTTCCAATTTAACGGACTTTAAGTATACCAGTTTAGTAAACTAAAAGTACAGTTGCGGGGTAATTTTATTAAGTACATAAATATGTAAATGTATTTGTAGTATACTTACAAATAAATGCCTTTCAAGTACATTTTAGTATACTTATTTTTCACTAGGGTTAATGACCACATTTTGTACTTTTGTAGTTTTACACAGACTCGTCTGTTTTACCATAAAATATGGCGAGGAGAGGACATGATTCTTCAGCAGCAAAACTTTAAGCTTAGTTGCAAAAAAAATTCCAGGTTTGTGCTCAAGTTTAGTTATTAACACTGAATTTCAAGCAAATCTAAAGATAAGCAAATCAGTTTCCCTGCTAAATTGGCATTAAAAAACTCTTGCTCAAGCAAATTGCCTATTAACGAAAAGCTGAACTCTCTAATTTCTCAAATCCATTCTTTAACGAGTGTGTGTGTGTGTGTGTACTGTGTCTCTGAACCCTGAAACCCAGAAGGTGTTTGAAGATGCAATTGGTGATGCATAATCAAAAAAAGGAGTCATTTCTCACCAACAGTGTCATGAAAACGCTGAGGCTGCGCCTAACATTTTAATGGCTACATGTGAAATATAGATTTATTTTATCCTACCACACAAGATATTTTTTTACTGTCTACATAAGATGATAAGAATTTGACGGATTAATTTTGCAGAAGGATGAAAATACAAATAAAAGTATCCTTGATGAAAAAAGATATGCTTTGTTGGACTTGAGGATTTATTTTTAGCAGGGATGTGACATGAAACAATATTACATGATGCCTAATTGCTTCATAGCACATGTACTTTGAAAGAGCAGGGTGTCCTAAACATTGCTAAATAAATGATATATAAATGATGCTGTACATCAGGATACAAAACATATAAAAGACTTGAGAACACAAATATAATGTGCACAGGCACCAATGAACACATTGAGGGACAACGTGTAATGGTGAAAAGATGGAAGAAAATAAGGTCAAATGGAGCTGAAAAGAGCAATGAGGTGGGGCGTTTATAGCATGGAGACATGACTTACTGAATCCTCATATAAATCTAAGCACAGACTGCCAAGCCAAGGCTTTTTGGAATCCTTTTTTGGGGGGGGGGGAATTAGTAGTAGTACTTCAGCTGAACAAACTTCTTTACAAAGACCTATTAGAGAAATGTTCCAAGTTCAATGCAAGTTAAGCTCTACTGATAGCATCTGTGGCATGCTGTCACTTACCAAAGAAATGGATTTGTCCCTCAGTTCATAAAAATAAAATAAAGTCAGGTTTTACAGCAAAGCACTTACAACAAATGTCTATTGGGAAAGGCATTCTGGAGGTTTTCTGAGGAGTCTCACATGTAGATTGTATAAATATTGTGGCTTCAACCTCAGAACATTGTATTTTAATGTTTATTCCAGTGTGATTACTTGTCACATAGTCTTGTATTACTAAACAGGGTTAAAAAAGAAGTCAAAAGAGATATTAAGAGAGAAAGAGACTCTGTTTCAGGAAGAGAGACCATTACCTGATTGTAACAGGGGTGAAGAGCATCATGGTTGTTACATTATCAAGAAAGGCTGACAGAACGGCCGCAATTAGGCACAGAATCATAATCATGGGCCACACTCTTCCTCGCGATAACTGATACGCCTGTGTGGAGACATACAGAACACTGTTGGGAATACTTCATTATTGGTTTACAAAGTTTGATTTTTCTCGTAACTTCACATTAATGAAAACTAACTGGGTCGAAAATAAATAAACCCAAAAATCGCTTGCCTTTGTTTATGAACATTAACAAAATCATGTGTTCAAAACATTTTCTAGTGGAACGGAGAGATAGATTTAACAGAGCCTCAAAGACAGAGAATCAGGAGCAGTCCTCTGAGAGGGTCTCAGAACACAATGTTCAAAAGTGAACTTTAATGAGAAATTCAGTTTAAAAACTGACACGGATCTATAGTGTCTTTGCTCATTCAGGGTTTAGCGCTAAAAGAATGTTCATGCCTGAAAAGAAAAGAATTAAAAAAAGACCTCCAACTTTAAGAGCCTGTCGCTATGGCGACATTATCAGGCTGTCTGGAATCATACTAATCATGTATGTAATGCATGGGTGTTGTAACCCACCTATTATGTCACTGCTTCCTAAATAAAAAAGATGCTAACTGACAAATAAACAAAGAGTAAAGGCCCGTTCATACCAAGGATGATAACTATAATGCTAACGATAAAGAAAGAATGGGGGATTCTATATCACAACTGTGAATGGCACAAAGGAACAATAGCATTTTTTTCTTTCAGCTGATGAATGTTGAAAACATTGACAGCTGATCAGAATTTATCCACTTGAACATTTAACCTATTATGCCATTGGTCTCAAATTCAATTCCTGGAGGGCCACAGCCCTGCACAGTTTAGCTCCAACCCTAATCAAACACACCTGATCCAAATAATCAAGGTCTTCATGATTACTAGAAACTTCCAAGCTGGTGTGAGTTGGATCTGTTTGGAACTAAACTCTGCAGAGCTGTGGCCCCATTGAGTTTGAGACCACTATATTATGCCGTTTTTTACAATATGTAATATAACTCTCATGTTTCCCCAGAATGTATCTGTGAAGTGTCAGCTCAAAATACCCCACAGATCATTTATTATATAATTTTGAAAATGTTTTTTTGAGTGAAAGCAGAAACACGCTGTTTTCGTGCATGTCTCTTTAAATGCAAATGAGCTGCTGCTCCTCACCCCCTTTTCTAGAATAGGGCTGTGCCCTTACAGCCTGTTCCTCAGATACTCTGCCAAAAACATCTGTTTGGTTTTGATTATCATGTCTATCGTGCTGAAATCATGCGTTTTAAACCATATTAGTCTGACATAGGGTTTTCTGAGCGCACATATCCGAAGCACATGCACAGAAAGCGGCTTTCACATGGCATGCGAGTACTAAACTAAGTTCTCTTTCATGTCTTATTGCGCTTAAACTGTCAAATACACACAGGTTTATGTTTAAAACAGACGAGTTACAAAAACTGTTAGTTATGTCTGTGAAGGTAAACAGCCACAATGAAATTGCATGTTTATATTAGATCTGTGTGGCAGCAGTGTAATATATAGTAAATAAATCCATAAATCCACTGCTCTCTTGTCTCCTTTGAGGCTGGGACTCTAAATAGTGTCCTGTGCTCGTCAGTGCAGCCAAAGACAGAACAATTAGCATGCTTTGCTCGAACTTTAGACATGGCGTTAGCCGTGGGTGGAAACGTGCAGATTAAGGGGCGGTAATATTATTAATAAAGGGCTCGTTTTTTTCACAAGCTTGCAGAGAAAGGCTTGCAAACAAAAAGACTGGGTTGTTCTTTTTCAAGTTTTCTAGGTTGGTAGATGCACCGGAGACCCGATTATAGCAGATTTTCATGATATGTCACCTTTAAAGCGGCAGATGACATAACTGCAGTGCACGTTTATAATGAACAGAACATTACTCTGCGTTGCTGTGGACACTAATATTGTTATCATTATAGTTCCTCATGTGAACGGGCCTTAACCACACAAGACTACACACATGGATAGAATAAGCTTGATTTTTTATTTCAAGGCAAAATGCTTTATGCTGTCTTGAGATGGTGTTCAATCAAAAGGGTTGTTTCTATGGCAATATTTTAATTTGTGGAACCTCTTCCACAGGTCCTCTTCCAGAACCCTCTTAATATTCATGAATGTGATGAGAGGACATAAGCGTGTGCCCTCATAATGTCCAGAGCACATCTATAATGTTCCAACAGGTCTTTTACAACAGTCCACAGAATCCCTGAAAATAAGGAATGCGATATTTATCCAATGAAGCTCATCCCAAGATTTATTTTTCATTAAATCTAACCCATTTTCTTCATGATTTATAAACGTTTGCATCATTTCACAAAGATTTGTTCCATCTGATTCCTTTTCACATTTCTATTGGGGCTTGATATTTCCCCATAAATTTCATACATAAAATATTTGTGGGGTTCTCATCACTTTGCGTGAGAGTGAATGATAGGGATTTTCAGGGCAGCTATCGTAATAGCTCTGCTCCTTTTCCCCAAAGCTTACTGGGAAAAGTAGCATGATGGGATTACATTGACTAAATAAAAAAAATAGGGACATCAATAATGTAAAATGAAAGCATATCAGACTGAATCAATAGCAGCATTTCACACGCTACCTTGTTGTTGCTGACTAAATGTTAGTAGTTATTTGTATCTGTAAGTATATAAGGTATATAAATGTATATAATATTATATGTTAAGGTGCGTAAGTTGAGTGGACTAATTTTAGAGAGAATATGAAGAAATAAGTCTCTCAGAAACCAAGACTTAAGCAGACCTCTGCTAAACAAATCACAAACAAGCATATGCAACATGATGATTGAGAAAACTCACCTTCACTGCACAGTAATCAAAGAAACCGGTCTCAGAGAATATTGCCACCAGAATCATCTGAAAGTAAATAGTAGGGGTTATAAGACTTGAACATTTCATGGTTTCTATTTTTAGTGCTTACTGCCACATGTGTCGCTATAAAATCACATTATGTCTCAAAAACCACACGGTCTCTCACTCAATTTCATGCCACATATATCCGTCTCTGATTTATTAATTTTTTTGCCCTGAGATACCGAAACAGACATCTGCGAAATATAGAAAATCAATAAAGTGAAACATCAATATTTCGGAGTTTATTAAAGCAAATGTTTCTAATGTAAAATGGCTCTCAGTCTCTTTCATAGTCAGTCTTTAAAATTGACAGATGCTATGATTCATTTTCTATCATCAGTCTCTGATTTTCTTTTATGATTTTCCTCAAATACTCCTACATGTAGTCTTCTGGATGAGGGCTGATTGAATGTATTTGTTTCCATGGAGACAGACACTGAACAAACAGAGATCTTGAAAAGGGTGGCACTTCAGCAGTAATATTAGAGGCTGTGTGTTTTTAATGTGTATTAATTTTTTTTGGTCACACTGTGTTGCGTTAACATGTAAAATATGGACTAATGATATATGCAGACCACCAACCACACCTAACAAGCATTTCGACCGAGTGTGCTGCTGCAAAGTATGTGCAACGCAAATAACGCCCTGAGGAATTCTTTCTTAAAGAAGCACTAGGTTAACGGCACATTAAAGAAAGGTGCCCCACTAAGTGCCTGCCAGGCTGACCAGCCTGAGAGACTGATATGGGTTGGATTAGGGGCTTTGTCAGACTGTCAAGCACTTAGCAGGGCAACTTTCTCCAACAGGAAGGTTAAAGCATCTCATTACACCAGGTTTAATGCTGTCTGAAAGAATTAAATAACTAGATTTTATCTGAAGAAAACATGATGGCGGTTGCAAGATTTGGCTTGTGTAATTCCATCTGTGGTATTTTTTGCCCATTTTATCACAAAGTTATAAGTTCCGTTTCCTCTAAATGTAACTGCACACATCTTCCTAACAAGTCAGATGATCTGAGATATATGTTCATAGCACAAACAGTGCACTGTTTTTATGAATAACAGTTACAGTGCTAAAATAGCAAGCACCACTGATAAATTAGTTTTACCCCTTTTTTACTTTTTTCATTTGAAACAGCCCTGCTGTGAGTTTACATTTAATATATTTCTTTGGAACCCTCCTACTCAGGTTGAATGAGTAAAAAAGCTGCTGGAGAGCTTATAGACCTGTTAGAATTATGCTTACCATTCCAAACAGCAATGCAAGAGTTTCATAGTCAATCCATTCTACAACAGTCATCAGACTCGGCCTCTACAGTAAAAAGACAGTGGGATGAAATAGTCATCATCTCCTTCCTCAGATACAAAAGAACATTTTCACATCCTAGTCTTAACTGGGTTTTCTGAATTGTTGAAATAATTGCATCAATTACCATACCATTTAGGCCTACATACTGTATTCTGTTTACTGGGGTATTTACCAACCAACCAAGTTAAGAAGTTCATAAAGTTTTTTTAGTTAAAAAAAGACATTTGAGACTACAGAGCTATGGGTCTTTTTAAAGGGCACTCCATCTATCAAACAGACAGAAGTGCAAGGAGTCATTTTACTCATGCTCAAATAACGCACTTATCTCCAATTTCTGGAATACAATAACTAATACACAGAGCCGCAATGAGAAAGCAAGATTTTAGCACATTAGAGTAAATCAGTGCAATTACCGCTGATATCCCATTTATGTGAAATGTATGTATGTATATATATATATATATATATATATATATATATATATATATATATATATATATATATATATATAATATTCTGAACTGTAATTTGAATTTGCCACAATTTATTATTTATACAGACTTGACTTGCACATGACAGGATGTTGCTTTGCTCTTACGCTAATAAAACTCAAGACCATCACTGCAGTTTTCAACATTAATAAAATCCCAGGGTCCAACTCTTGACATAATGTAAGCTATCTTCATCAGAATAGAATAAATAACATTCTCTAAAACTTACATCTCCAATGAAAGCCAGTGCTGCCAGAGCAGCCAGGGATCCTAACATTGCAGCCAGAGTGCGGTGAACAATCTGCAAACACAGATGCAACATTTTTACTCACAATTGGAATACTATATATTCTGCCAATTTTATTATAAACCTGGTCATATATTAATGGGTACAATGTAACACAAACTAGATTTGTGCTATGGGGTCACGAAGATGTTCTGAGTGTTTTTGGCATGTTGCCAGGATGTTGTAAGTGGATGCTTACTGCCCCCATGTCTTTATTATGTTATGGTCCTTCTTACATTGAAAGCCAGTGTGGTTTTCTCACCATTTATTCACCCGCCAGGCAAAAATCATAAGTCTGATTGCTTAGAAAAGTAATAGCACAACTCATCTCAACAAGCTGCAAGATATGAGGTATCATTCTCGCCCATAGCACAAAATAGTAATACTTGGGATTAGGGGTGTGTTCAAATCCCAAACCCTTTGCATCAGCAACAGTAATAGCGATGCTTTCCTTAGCAAACAGTATTAAATATGTAAAATATAAGGCTGTGTAACAGACGTTGGACAACCAAACAAATTTGCTCATTCAAAATGCCAATTAACCCTCTACTCCACACTTCATTTATGTTTGATCCACCTCATTTCTTACATTAAATTCATTCTGCCCCTTTTATGCACTCTTATAATCAAATGATAAATGCCAAATCACAAGGATATATGCGTCAGTCGACAACGTCTTCTGGTTTTCTGCTCTTCAATCAGCCTCTGGACTAAAAGCGCCGCCTTAAAGTGCATTGTCAGATATCAGCATCTTCAGCATCTGTTTTCCTGGTGAGAGCACTTGACTGGAACACCTGAATCAAACTTTCTCTGATGCACCTCTTTCAGTGTCATGTGCCAAGATGGAGCAGTCATTACAAGAGCATGTAATCAGCTAGAAGAGCCAAAGAAAGGCAATGAGTACATAACATGCAGGATAACAGCTAATGACTCCAGTCTCGAAGGAGCAAGTAATCTGTGTCAGTCCGACAACTTCCCTGAGGGGGAGGAACACTTGGTGCAGTGTTGTGATTGTAAGTCTAAAACAGGTCATTAAGATAAATGGCTGAACACTGCTTTCTGAGCAGAATTAATCAGCAACATGGATATACATTGCGCTGCTTTGCATAAGAAAGTATCCTCTGAGAACAGTTTCTCTGTTTTGTGGTTTAAACCAATTACTCTCAATTATAGGGTAAGAAACAGTTTATGGCTAAATGAAATGTCAAAATGTGCCTGTGTGGGATGTAATGTTAGTTTTATACTCAAAGCCCCCCAGTAACTGAGAAACTGCAACTCTAGTCTAATTTAAGAATAATCTATCAGCCATTATTAAAATGTTTACAAGATATCTGCAATTAGATTGTGAACAAACATTATTCATGAATCTTTTAAGGCATATTAATATTTATAAGCATATCATACTGTTATATATCCCAGATTTTAGGTTTTGCCCTCTCTCAGGGCAAATGAGTTTTAGCTATCAGAGCTGCTGATGAAACTCACCATCTGAGCCCTTTTAATCAAAGTAGTTTTCAGAGTGCTGATTCTAGATCAGTTCGGAGGATTATCACTAAGCTGCTGTGCAATACAGATAGGAAGAGCAGGCCCAGGTCAATACAACAAATGCTTCCTTATTTACAATGGAGTCCAAATGTCTGAGAACACAAACTTCTGTGGAATATGTAATGCTAATCAAGTCTATTTTAACTTGGAAATGAACAAAGTTTTGGAATTTTGGAAGATTTTAAACCAACATAAAATGAAGAAATATTTAAGATTCTGCACTTTGGTCACTAATTAAACCAGCCGTGTGAACTACTGTGTAAAAAATTTATTATGTTGACAGATATTCTTGCTTCCACTGAATGACAAGACTCTTTTGAAGATCGCAAATTATGCTCAATAATATGATCATTAGGTTTTATACAAATCTCTGGTGCTGCTGTCAAGACATAAGACTTCATTTAAAAGTTTACTTTTTTCCCCACTAAAATCGCCATGCTGATAATGTAATTTGTAAATCAATTTCAAAAAATTATATATATATATATTTTTTTTTTACTAGTGGTCTAGAACTTTTGAACTTTAATGTTTAGTACTGTAGTATATCATCAGATTCAGCAGTCTATTAAAAGCTGATTATGAAGGCACAATCTGGGCAGCTGCACCTTCCTTCTGGCACACACACATACATTTGGCTACATCATTTGCTGTTTAGATCAATACATGAAAAGCAGCAATATTTTAATTATAATTGGACTGAGTAATGGTGGCTGTATTTCTTAGTATTAAAAAATCCAGATCAAAAAGTTAATGATACATTTAGACTAAGATCGACTGTATGAGCAAGTGTTGTTTAGGTGTTATGTTGTTTCTACTGAAATGTCATGCTGTGTTGTGTGTGAGATATTCATCATTAAAAATGGACAGACTGCACTCAGTTGGACAGCAAAGTTACTGTGTTTTTCCAACACATTTTGATGATTTCTAAAAAGCCTGGGAACTAGTTCATATACATATCATAGTTGACTGAAGTTGTAATATTTTAACATGTCCAGAGAATATAATATCATATCATATCATATATCATATCATATCATATCATATCCTATCATATCATATAATGCAGTCTTCAACAATGAGATTATCTGATGAACTTCACCTGTAATCCATTCTGGATATGTTCTAACTGGGAAGGGGTTTGGGGAAATTTCTTATAAATAGATGATCACAAAGGTAACGCTCCCCTATTTTAAAAGCATAATAAATAAAATGACGATTACTCACCCAATCAGCAAAATTTGTTCATTAGTTCACTTTTAAAAACATAATTTTTTATTTTCTCATCCTTGATGACAGTGTAGCCATAGGTATGAAGCATTAGTATGAACGGTAAAAGTGGAAACATGGGCCCCCAAAGTCTCCATTAGCATTCTCACAAAGGTCTAATTAAACTCTTCGACACACAGCATGCTGTCCCTCCTGAAGAAATAAATGTAATTAGGAAGGGAGGTCCCCTCTGCCCTCATGTCCCCCTGGAGCCACACTAAAGCGCCGCTTTCTCGGAAAACTCTATAAAAAAATTAAATAAATAAATAAAAATGTGCGCGCACTACAGGGAGAAGAGGAAGTTAAAAATGTGGAGGAGTGTTTTGCTGTAAGGCTCTTTAAGGCTCTAGTTGTTCAGACTAACATGACTAACATAGTATGACAGTGAACAAAACAAATTAAAAAATATATATATATAATCAGAAATGAATAATTTGAAGGTGAATTGGTGGTGGAATTATGTTTTTATATAGTCCAAAAGAGACCACTAGTGAAAATGCACCTATTTTGCATTCTTTTATCATTTACATTTTTATATCAAATGATATGATCACATTTGAGGGAACAGTTTAATTGAAAAACTAACATGAATTTCAGAATGTCTTCGTATTTATTTCCCTCATTGATTTGATTGACAGCAGCACTCAAGCTGCATGAACTCTGACCGATCCATGTTATTCAGAGTTTCAGTGGAAGCAAGGGTCCATCCAACATTTTGTATTAGAGTTCACAGTGTTCTTCTTGAATTTACCTCAAAATATTTCATTTACAATGTTTCAGAGGCTTAAAACATTGTGTATTTTCATTTGCACTAATACAATTTGGTCTTGCAATACAATTCAAGCACTCTAAATCCACTTTGATAAGTTGGCTTCAGGTACTCAAAAAATGTGACATACTTTTGTGGAATCGCTGTCAGTGTGGGCCAGTAGAAAGCTCTTCATGTTAGCATTAGTAGAGCCTAGTGACCTCTAGTGCTCAACAGCGGTATAGGTACAAATTAAATAAAAAACACGAGTTTATGAATAGCTACTGCCAAGGACATCTCAGTGTAGTGCTGGATCTACAAGCACAACTTTAGAAAGTTTATGAATAACATACCCAGCATGGCATCTACTCTTCCTGAGGAGTTACAAAAGACTACAGATGTGCGCACACAAATCTCAGACGACGCACAGAGTCAATGTGGCAAAACAGCCGAGATGATCTTGTTTATGGGGATGAAATATGGGATGAGTCTTGAAAGACCATTGAATGGATTACCGTGCGGTGTGAAAATAATGTCTTCACACCGACACCTCATATTTTACCTCAAAGATGATGAGCACATAGACTCCTGCCAGGATCAATCCGGCAATAAGCACCTGTGTTTCCACGGTTACATAGAGTGACTGGTGAGTCATGGACAGAGGAACCACCTGACTGTCTAACAGAAAGGCCTGCACGCTGATCAGAATAGGAGCGCTGGAGGGCAAAAGAAAGAGACAGATTAGAGAGACGGAGACACACTAGAGCATACACCGTGACAGGAACTACTGCATAACCCACATTATGAAATGATCACATTTACTGAACTATTAACACAATTTAAAAATCTGAAGACAGTAGTATGACAATATTATTCTACTTTTTAAAATATAGAGCAACTGATTTTGTTTGTATGATCGTACCTGCTAACCATTTCAAATGTCCTTGTTCTCAGAATTTGGTCACTTCGTTGGGAATGCAATGGTATAGTCCAGTTATAAAGCAGCTGTTAGAAAAATACTAGAATTTGTATTGTGACTGTATAGAACAATCTCTTTTTTATGTACTTTCTACTCATCAAAGAATCCTGACAAAATGTATTACAGCTACTACAAAAATATAAAAGTAACACAATTGTTTTCAGCATAAGAGATGAGATCATTTTTTGATACAATAAGAAATTATATCAATGAGAAATGCTTATTAAAATGATTTCTGAAGGATCATGCGATGCTGAAGGCTAGAGTAATGGCTGCTGAAATTTCAGCTTTGCCATCACTGCAATAAGCTGTAACAATATTTCACAATATTACTGTTTTTACTGTAATTTTGATTAAATTAATGTAGTCTTGGCCAGCATAAGAGATTTTTCAAAAACATAAAAAAATCTGACCCCAACCTATTTTTATTAAAGCATAAACACACTTTTTTGTGTGACTAACTTTATTTAACATTAGTTTAATCTGCTGGTAGTGTGAAGAACATAACTGTTCCATTTGGCTCTGTTGAAACAACTCTAACCTGCTGAGTTCTTCTCCGGCGAGACCCCGCCTCTTCAGTCTGCTCCACCTGGATCAGAATATACTCCTGGGCCTCTTGTACCGCCTCCATCCCCCCCAAAAACGGCCCACCAACCTGCAGCTTCAGTAGGGAGTTGTCACGAAAATCAGTAAGATTCATAGCTACAGCGATCAGTTAGGTTAAGAAAAATGTCCACAAACTAGGAAACACATTACAAATGAAAACACATAACACAAAATATCCATCAAGCTTTAACCTGAGCGTTTTTTTAAAAAGTTTTGCAAACAGATGTCTGTCCAAAATTCATTTTGGACAGACAATTCCCTCCCACCAGCAGAAGGTACTTTGAAGCACTTCAGTGCATTGTTCACTCTTCACATTCATCTCTCCAGCTCTGCAGGACCCACAGATTGCTGCAAGTATCAGGCAGATCTGTTGTTATGCACGAAGTCATAGGCAAGTCTGTTACCATGACACAGGCCGCTGTAAATAGCAGATGGTGAGATTGTCACAGAAACGGAAATGAATTAGCGCAGCCCTTCAGTGCAATCTCCGAACCAAACATAAAATCCCTGCAGGGTCTGAGGAGTTAGCGCAGTGGCATGCATCATCACAATACTTGACTTGTGAACTAATGATTCTTATTTATCTAGTCAATGCAAACCCAAACAATGCAGATTCTCTTAAGTACACAAATGGGGAGGATACAGAAGCTCTCGGTGGATGAGACCGCCAGCATCCTCCAGGGGCTTTCCCTGTCAGGATACATGCTGAAAAACAGCTGATGATTCAAATAAATATGGTTATTTCAGAGTGTCAGACAAATAAATTCACTGAGCTTTTAAGTAAAACAATCATAAATGGATATTATTCTGTAACAAAAGTTGAGTAAATCTGATGAGTAGAAAACTTACTGAACACAGAACAACAATGATGAAGATGGTGATGACTTTTGTTGTCCTTAAGCAATGCCTATAAAAACAAATGTAGGCACTTGTTATGTCCAGGCCCATAACCAGCTATGAGGCCACCGAGGTCCGGACCTCGGTAAATTTTTCATGTTCAAAAATTAAATTTGTTCTTTGAATGACTAATTTGCTGTTAAACTCCTCATATGAATGCCTGCATGACATGTATAATTCAGTTTAGACAGTTTGCAAGAATGTTTAGCGTCCCTGTTATGAAAATGATCGCTGCGAGACGCTGCCGGAGTGAACGAGGCTTGAGAGAGTTGCGAGTGAGGGCGCAAGCGTTTTTGGACTTGTCTTTTCCACTTAATTTAACACTTTAGAAAGTTAATAATATATTTATCTTATTTGCAAAAGATTGGAAATAACTTGTTTATTTTTATTTATTTTTAGTCTTTTGTTTGTTTTAGTATCAATATCTGGCAACACTGCATCGCCGGCACTTAAACTGAAAGCAATCAAAAAAGCCCATGGACAGGTTTTTGCTGACAGGATACGACATTCGGTAAGGGAAACGCAAAAATGATCATGATATTATCTGTCATAAACGTGATCAACGCTGTCAAAAACAGTAGCATTTAACACTAGTAGGCTACACACAGATCTATAGAACAAGTAGGTTACAGAATGAAATGAAATACGCAAAAACTAGCCATGAAGAAGTCTATGCTATGTCATTCAGTATAGTTACATTTTCACAAATCATGCTATAAACTTTCATAAGAGCACTAGACAAAGTTATTGTAGTTATGTATTGTTGCAATAAACAACTGATAAAATTATCCACCCTTAAATATAGTAAAGTATTAACAAATTTTGATGCAATAAATAGGGTATGATTTAAAAATATTCATCCCTCCAAAACATAGAAAACATCTTTCACAAACATCTACTTGTCTGTCTCCTTTAAAGTGTTTATTATAGTGTATATAATGAGTTGTATTTGTAGGGGTTAATATAACACACTTCTTTAACACCAACCCCCCCCCCCCTTTTTCCACAAAAAAAGTGGAAAGCTTTCCACAATTTTCACTATTTAATGTTTCTAAATTTAGAGGTTTGGGGTCGGCAAGAGTATTATGTATAGTATGTATGTATATATAGAAGTGACCTGTGTTCACCAAAGCTGTATTTATTTGATCAAAAATAAAAAAAAATTACATTTAATTTGATGGTGAAGCTAAATTTTCATCAGCCACTACTCTAATCTCAAGTGTCACATGATCCTTCAGAAATTATTCTAATATGCTGATTTGCTGCTTAATGTTGAAAACATGTTGCTGCTTAATATTTCTTTGTGAATTTTTCAGGGTATTTTTAAAAATAAAATGTTCAATAGAACAGTGTTTATTTAAAGTAAAACTCGTTTGTAACATCAGGAATGTCTTTAATGGCAATTTTAATCAATTTAATGCATCCTTGCTGAATAAAGGTGTTTTTTTTTTCTCAAAAAAAACAAACAAAAATAAAAAAAAATTACATTTAATTTGATGGTGAAGCTAAATTTTCATCAGCCACTACTCTAATCTCAAGTGTCACATGATCCTTCAGAAATTATTCTAATATGCTGATTTGCTGCTTAATGTTGAAAACATGTTGCTGCTTAATATTTCTTTGTGAATTTTTCAGGGTATTTTTAAAAATAAAATGTTCAATAGAACAGTGTTTATTTAAAGTAAAACTCGTTTGTAACATCAGGAATGTCTTTAATGGCAATTTTAATCATCCTTGCTGAATAAAGGTGTTTTTTTTTTCTCAAAAAAAACAAAAATCTTACTAACCCCAAATTTTGAATGGTAGTGTATGTATGCCGTACCTGATGGGGGATGACAGTTTGAAGTAATGTTCACATTTCTCCATAGATGTGATGTGGGAGAGACTGGTCACCTCACTGCCCAGCCTGCACCTCCTCTCCAATTCAGCAGAGCTGGCCTCCCATGATTCCTCTCCAGACCCCAGGCTGGGCTCATGCAGTGTCATGTAGGTTATACTGCACAAAACAGTGTAAAAACAGTGGGTTAGACACTATGGTGCTTGCAAAATGTTGCTCTGTTTGTTTGAGCAGTCCAAGAGATTGACTTCTGACTCAACCAATGGCGTGAGTTTGGGGCGGGACTATCTGTTTAGTGGTCAAATTAATTAGCTTGACCTGGGAAACCGGTTTACAATAATCCTTATTTTTGCAGTCACATCTGTTGCCGCTAGTCTTATGGAATAAACACTTCACCTTTAAATTTAGTTGTGAAAATCCAATCGCTCCTGGCTAACTTTTACTCTAATCTAAAGTAAAACATCACTTCTGCAGCTACGAAGCGATCAGTCATCTAAATGCTAATTGCAGCCACACAACAGAGATTAAAACCAACGAAAGGTGTTAAAAGCCTGTTATGCTACACAGTTCTTTGACAAATTCATGCTAAGAGAGGATACACCTAAGTGCCTAGACATAACTAGAGGCTTTTGTGTTGATTATAGGCAGCAAGATACATTATTCTGACTGAGAGCACAATATAATCGCTAGCAGCATTAGCATTCAGCTCACTGCCTTACAGAGGGAATGAAAAATGTATTACTGAGGGCAGGAGATAGCAGCCAGCCATATTAGCACTGTGACAACAGTTTACTCCATGTAGGACCCTTGATCTCAGAGGGCTGTCATGATAACCAGGGGTCTTCAATAGCGTGTCCGAGGTGGTACTGCAGCAGAGGGCCCACCGATTGTTTGATATTAAACTAAGTTTTTAGTAAAAAAAATTTGACTAGAATCCTGTGTTTGATTCCATTTGAATTTTCATTCAGTTTGCAATTTCCATAAGAAAACTGATCCTACTTTTTATGAGATTTTTCTTGATGTACCTGATAAAATAAAGTTTCATGAAAATAGGAATATTCAGCATTGAGGAGGACATAATATCCTCCAAACAAAACGAATACAGGTGTAATCCTTATGACTATAACTCTTCTTGTTACATAAAATCACTGGCTTTAGAGTTCTGGTAGGGATACACTGGTGAATCAAGGACTCATTTTGGGGAAAACAGGAAATGCATTAAACAAAATAACTCATGCCTCAAAAACATTGACGAACTAAGAACTACAGTATTATAGTTAGTTCCCCACATAAAATTATCAAGTTGTATACAAAAATACAAACATTTTGTATGGAAAATTTGGGATTCTCGTGCAAATAACATGGCTAGTGAGAACCACAAATTCAATGTGTTGGAATCATTCCCGATTATTATAGAGGCTGACAACAGAGTTCAGATACTGTACTGCAGGCAGTGTTTGGTTTAATTAAGAAGTACATAGAGGTCAAGACCACTTCAAGATCTCAAAATGCCATACATTATGTGAGGAACTCTGTTTGCCTTCAACATGGTAATATATAAAGTAATTGTTGGAAATGATATTCCTCACTGGTTGAGCGAACTGGAATGCGCTCCAGTCTAGTATCAAATTCAATGTGTTGGAATCATTCCCGATTATTATAGAGGCTGACAACAGAGTTCAGATACTGTACTGCAGGCAGTGTTTGGTTTAATTAAGAAGTACATAGAGGTCAAGACCACTTCAAGATCTCAAAATGCCATACATTATGTGAGGAACTCTGTTTGCCTTCAACATGGTAATATATAAAGTAATTGTTGGAAATGAAGGTCACAAAGCCACTTTTTCTCATTACTGAATGAGAATGAGGTCGGTAATTACAGACCCCAGGTAATATTCCTACAGCTGTTCTGCAAAAGCTTTCTTGACTAAAGCCAAGTCAACAGGTCCTGCAACTTTAAAAGAAACGAGTGGTTAACGCTTGCAACAACTTGCAAACGAAAATTATATTCTATTATGTTTAACAGACGATTAATTAAATAGCCAGAAAACTTTGATTTGTATAGTTTGGTATATATATATAATTATAACTGAATGCGTATCAAGCTCTGATTTGCTCGCAGATGATTTCTGAAAAAGGTTATTATAAAGCAGAGTACCATTGGATTTTATTGTTATTGGTAAATAAATACATATAAATACATAATATATACATAACGCAAATAAATTAAACCATTTTGATGTCAAATTAAAAAAATCAAGAAAAACAAACCTTACCAGAATTGTTCGCTGCTGAACAGAAAAGAAAACAAGAACAACAGAACATCAAATAGGAAAGATTGTGAAACCAACAGGGAAATAAATATAGGCTCACCTGTCATTTTGGGGGAACTTGAGAAGGGGTGACCGTTCTGTGTGGTTGGCTTGGTTGGATTTGCCTTTGAGGAGGTTTACCATGCTGAAGCTGTGCCTGGGAACAAGGAGAAAATGTATTAAATCCGAGCATGACGTCTGTCATAAATAACATCTCAGCCACATTTAGAAATCAATTCTTGGCATCCATTTTTAATAACTCTTCTATAAAAACTGGCAGCTGAAATTAACTGGAACTGAAAGTCTCTGTTTAGTCATCTTTACACCACTATGAAACATCCTGGTCTAGTGTGTCAAACAAGGTCTAAGCTACATGATCATAAAATAAATATAGATTTTTCAAACATATAGCAAGTTACACGTCCAAATGTTTAACGACAATTATATAAATTACATCCTTCTTGTCCACTGTGTCCTCCTACAGCTGTCTTGATGATTTAACTGACACCTCGTAACTTGTCAGGGTGGATGGGCATCAGGTGGTTTGCAGATTTACAGAGGCATGAAAGCGATATGGTTATGACAGGTTTAAGGACAACAGCATCCTGCTTATTCAGGCCTTGAATACTAGAATAATGTTCTGGCCTTGGTTTCGATGCTATAAAATACAGTGACACAATGAAATAAATCAAACAATTGCTTTGTGATTTTATTTTGTGCCAGTGAAAGGCTCATGTAATGCATGAGTCCCCAACAAAAGTCAATGCCGCAATCTCACGATTTTAAAATATGTATCTTTCAACATGTCATATAACAGATATCCAAGTTTAGAGTATCATTCAAAGAAATCAGGATTATAATGTACATATAAAACTGAAATCCTGACACAGAAAATCAGATGTTTTTAGTGGCATGTGCCACATTTATGTAATTAATAATAATAATTGCATTTAGCAGACGCTTTTATCCAAAGCAACTTACAATGCACTCAGGCTATAAATTTTTTACCAGTAAGTGTGTTCCCTGGGAATCGAACCCACAAACTTTTGCGCCGCTAACGCAATGCTCTACCACTGAGCCACAGGAACATGTGTCAATATGTGTCAGTAGTGTCTTCATTTAGAAGTTGCATTTCTCTTGGGCCTGGATCAGGGTTTTTTTTAACAGGGGCCCAATGGCAGTCTCGACAGCAGGGGGTCAAACTTTTTTGTGGATTTTTTTTCTCCATAAAAAAAATGACCAAAACAAAATGTCAACTAAAACTAAAGAAGCTAAAGTACATATTTTATTGTTCCTCCCAAAATAAAATGTATTCTATAAGACAGGGGTTCCCAAACTATGTTGTCAGCCGAACCCCTCAGATGTAAAATATTTCTTTGAAATTCCACTTGAGAATTTAAGCTATTATTTCAATAATTTAAGAACACATTTGTATGTCCTCTGATGCTGGTTAATTAACATATAAATTATAAAATATTTTTTAGTAGGTATAGGTCTGCATGATGGCCATAACATTATATTGAAATTATTTTGTCATATATTGTGACTGAGATTTGAACTGATGACATTTCATCTCATATGAAAACTATATCTTACATGATCTTAAATGTATATTTATAAAATATATTGTGATTTCAGTTTTATTTCAATTAATTCTGCAGCACAATTGGGTTATTTAAATTTTACATTTGATTTATTTCATTATTAGCTTTTCATTAACTCATGAACCCCCTGCAGTTTCCTTGTGAAGCCCCATTTGGGAAAGCCTGGTATGCATCAATTATAATTATTTTATTGACTTTGTAATGTAAGCATCATAAAAGGTATGTAAATATATTAATATGGTACTAAATGCTTACTGTAGTACCTCATTAATATATTTCAATATAATTGAAAAGGGCTACTAGCATTGCTTCATTCAGTAATCACACTTTATCCTCCTAACTTCCTCAGACAAGGACAGCTTTATTTACTGTAGTCATAAAGCAAACATTTCACATCTCATATACTAAATAACAACAAAAAAATCTATAGAAGTCTCCAGAAGAAGAGGGGGAAGAGAAAGGATGGGTTCTGAGCTATTGCTCAGAGACACCAGCAGTGTTGATATTTTTCGGCCAGTGTGAATAGAACAGATGGAAATCCTGAGAACTCTGTGGGCTAATTACTGGAGCCTCTTCAGTAATTAATAATTGTGAAAAATTCTCTGTTTGTCAATTAATGACAGTTTAAATGGGTAAAGTCCCTCTTATCTCTTCAATTGGCTCTGAGTTTGTGTGTGAGTTATGGAGAGCCTTTTGCAGAATGCCAGAATAGATCAATGCTGCTCAGCACAGGCCAGACTATAGAGTCAACCCTAGTACAATTCTAACACATCATTGGGCAAATCCCAAACCTCAGCTGCTTAGCATTACAGAGGACTCAGACAACTCACCCACCCCTACCGATGCGTCTGCTTACTGCAAACAGCTGGGATGGGGAGTGTGTGTGTGTGTGTCTGTGGGCTCCAGACAAGACATAATAGCCATGGCCTCCAGGACATATCCTGGTGTTGAGTTTGGGCAAAAGGGAGATTAGACAGGATATTTCAAGGCCTTTAATCCCTCTCCCTGCAGTTACACAACATAGAGTAGATTTGAAATGTTAGCTCACTGAATGCAGGATTTATAAATGAAGCAAAGCCTTCTCTTATTGTGGCTGAATCCAAGTGTGTGAGGTCCAGATGAGAATGAAACCGGGGGGGGTACATAACCCAGTGGGACACCTACCATCCTTTTAGATCCGGCCTAGAATACTAGTCTATTTGAAGGCTACCTGATGTACTCAGTTTAATTTCATGAACAATATAAAAACAAATGTGTGTGTCTATATATATATGTGTGTATGTGTGTTTTAAAGTACTTTTGATAAACAAGTGCAGTCTTGGTGAGCATAAGAGACTTTCAAACACATTAAAAATTTTACTGAGACCACCCTTTTAAATAATAATATGTGTGCAATAATATATGGCATATTTATATGTAACTCTGGCATATTTCCCATAGGACAGAAAGATAAACAAACAACTATTGAAATACATATTTTTTTAAATAATACATGTGATGTGATCAGATGTGATTTCATTGAGAGTGGTTATCATTAAATAATTCCTGCAGGAGAGAGCAGTCATGAGAGCAGAAGCAGACCACATCTCATGCATGACTAACAATTAATCACGTGATGGCTGATCTAAAACTGTACTGTCTAATCCGAAAAGTGTCACAACCACAAGCTTGAGATTAAGACCCCCATTGTCATAGTCCACAGTACCATCACACACGCACATTTATTCTCTCACAAAGACACACATTTGATGTTACTACAGTAATGTGACTCTACACGTGAGCACCAATTCTCTTTAGAGTCGATTAGCAGCTGTTTCACACAGAAAAGCGCTCACTAAGGGTTCTGGAGACCTTATCTGCCAAATGTGTTCTGCTTAATGTCAGCCATAATAGTGGAAGTACAATGGAAGCACATTTTGCATGATTTCCTAGCATGAGGTTTTTTTAAAACATCTCAAAGGTGATGCATGATAATTTGTTAAAATACTTTCTATTACCACAGTGTCCAGCAGAGACAAATATAAGCAAGTCATTCATAGACTGATCTCCCAGAATAGTGTAAACACTGTGGCACTATCAGAACTATTGTTCGGTTTATTTGTGCTCAAAAGTCTGGTTGAATGTGTTTGGGGCAGGACAAACTGTTTGTCCAAATCATCTTTGGCATATGGTGCAAGTCCTCCAGGAAAATTCATACTTACAATTTGGGAAGTCGTGATTATGACGTTAGGTGTGTTCAAGTCACGTTGGTTGGAGAAAGACATTCCCCAGGGCTATTAACATTCTAAAAAATTCTTTACTTGAAATAAAATAATATCTCAAATTCATTTCAGCCAATATTTCTCATTTTAATTTAGTTTAACTTGATGTACTAAAATAAAAAAAGATAAAACTTCCAAAACCAAAAATGACTAAAAATGACAACAACAAAAACAACAACTAAAACTAAAATTAAAATGGGGGAAGATTCAAAATATGAATCTCAATGATATTAAATGAACACTGAAGGTACTTTTCTATAAAAAACAAACAAGTAAATATATATATATATATATATATATTTTTAACTACTAGAAAATGGCAAATAAAGAATGCTGGTGTGGTTTGCTTTTTAAGTTTATGTAAAACTTATGAAGGTGCTATAAATTAAATAGTTAAATATTGTATTTATAAATTAGTTATTATTGTATCCTATTATTACATGCAACTTAGCTAGATTTACTGTAAATGTAAAAATAACAAAAAATTATAATTTAATTCATAAAAAATTGGCCATCAATACAGATGCTGCAACTCAAAGAAAGTTGTGAGTTTTCCACTTGTAATTCCGACTTGTAATTATTAACTTGAACAACAAGTAAGCTAATCAAAGTAATAACTAATAAGTATTAATTATTAATTATAATATGAGTGGGATTCGATGTTGTTTTGGACTCCACTGACTTTCATTTTATGGACAAAAACATTCCTAAAAGAAGAATGTCAGTAATGCAAGTTTGGAGCACAATGAGAATTAGTATATGATGATGGATGAATTTTGAATTTTAATTTTGGGGTGAAATATCCCTTTAACAGGATTGATCCTTGATGAACTATTTGACTGTCCTACCTATCATCTTGATGGACGTCAGTGTAGATTATGCAGTGTCCCGAGGGCACGGCTGCAGCCTGCAGTAATTTCTGTGTCTCTCTCTTCCCAGAGAATCCCTCCAGCAGACGAAGCTCATCAAAGTTCCCAGCCACAGTGTCAGACTTTCTGCAGCCTACCCTGCTGGAGTGACCCTGGCTTTGAGACATCTCCACCTCAATATTACTCTTATTCTCCAGGTACATCTTCACTCAGGCACACCGCAACTGGAGGAAAAGGGGAACACTTAGGTCAAATGATCTTTTAATGCAGTATAGGTTTCATATTTATGGTAATTAGCATCAGATGAGTTCTTTTGAGACTTTCATTTCTAGTTTAAAATGACTTCTGTAAGCCATGTACAGAACAATGATGTATAGACAGAAATAATTAGAGATACAGAACTGCATTGCGTATGATTTTATTCCATATTAAGGAAGCACCTGCCCTCCCCATGTATATAGCAAATACAGTCAAATAACATTCATATTTTTTCCATCAAGACTCATTATAATTACCAAGACACTTTAGATATATGGAATAATAAGTATTAATGCTACAAACACTACTGTAAGCCTTCTTAACGTGTATGGTCACATATTACAGCCACATTCAATTTGCTATTTCAAAGTCTCAGGCATTTAAAGAGTTAACGTCTCAATCTGTGATTGACAGCTAGACTGTAAGGTTCCCGTCTGAGAGTCACAGAAGCATTCTAATTAAGAACTTACTTCACCCTTTTGACCCTGGCATTACTTTTATACACACCCTCCTTCACACATAGACCTCTATAAACTCACAGCTGTAGATAGAGTCTAACTTTAATGGTAAAACAAGAGTTTTTGTGTGTGTGTGCGTGTGTGTATGCGTTTTTGTGACAAATGAGGACATAAATTTGTATAATGACAAAGGTATGACATAGGTATTACAAGGAGAAGGTAACTTTTCAGGACATTACCCCATGTCCCCACTTTTCAAAACGCTTATAAATCACACAGAATGGAGTGCATTGAAAATCTGAAATAGCACAAAGTTTCCTGTAAGGGGTAAGTTTAGGGGTAGGGTTGGTGTAGGGCAATAGAATATACGGTCTGTACAGTATAAAAACCATTACGCCTATGGGACGTCCCCACTTTTCACAAATGTAAACCTGTGTGTGTGGGTAAGTAGGCTGTGTTTTTTGAGCAGAAGAACATTGTGGAAAATGGTTTACTAATTTTAATGACCATCATTTTTAGAGTTGCATTTATTTACATATGCACAGCTTTAGAAACAAAAATCCTTTATTTCATAAATATATTTGTATAGTTTACTATTGCAAATATATTTTAAACCCCATCCCTGCTCCAGTGATAGCTAAATAAAACTAAAATTAATTCATTATTTTTAAAAATCATTAAGTGAAATAAAGCTAAAATAAAATATAAGTATAAATATTAGATGTAAAACATTCAAAAAATTAGAAATGTTGCATTGTCAAGTAAAATACAATACGTTTAAGTAGAAGTACTCAAAATAAAAACTTTAAATAAATTAAGGCTAAATAAATATTAAAATAAACAGAAACTAATAAAAGATAAAAACACATGAAGTTACTGAAACTTAAAATGAAAACTGAAAAAAAACAAAGCTAATTCGAAATCTATTATACTACATAACTAATACTAAAACAACACTGCCCTACCCTAAATCTAAAATACAGAAATAGAGCGAGATCAGTGGTTACAATATTAATAACACTACAGTACATAATAGAACTATTACATAGATATTTTAAGCCATTATAAAGTCAAAATAGTTAAAGGTGTTAAATGTTATGGCATTAAACATATAAAATTAAAAACAATAAAATCAGCTTACTAATTCCATGAATTCAATTATCTATTCAATATTGAAATCCCTAACCCTGAGCAATGGTAATAGCTTTACTCATTCTATTAAGGAGGATTTATTAAACAGCTCCCCCTAGTGGAAATTGTGAGGGGGGGGGGAAAACTCAAGGCAGCAAAACAAAAAAACACACCTCCCATTTTACTAGCAGACTGCCTCATAATAGAAAGAAACTTATTTTCACATAACAGAGTATGACATCACTTCACTGACAGCCTATGAGATTTTAGGGCTATGTCTGCCTATATTCTTCCTTTTGAATTGTTTGTATATAAATGAGAGACCCATTATGTCCTTGAGACCACCACCTATTGTTTGTAGCCCTTAATAACCATAGGAGTGAGGAAAAACTACAACAAAAAACACCAGAAGTGGCATGACGAATCAATGAGAAGCCAAACAATAATGCTTCAGGAATCATAAACCACTTTCTAGAGTGTCCAGTGTAATTGGATTAGGACTAGAGGTCACTCTTTTCTCAAACTGTGCTACAGTTCAGACACAGAGGAAAGTCATTGTGTTGAAAGCTCAAGGTCTGCCTGAATAGGACTTATCAGTGACCTGTGACCAATGACTAGTGACCGGTGCTTGTTTGATTTCCGTTCCTGTTGCCGAATCAAACAAGCTCTATTGTGTCAGTCAGTGGTCACTGTCAGTGTGTTAACACAGTCTGCAGAAACATGTAATATGTTGTAGCAAGAGTGAGTGTCATACTGTAAATGAAACACAACAGGAATATTTCTCTTTCTACCCCTGTTCAAATTAGCCCCGACTCCTGCTCAAATAAGGATGGTGGGCCGAACTGTACTGTCTTAGGGTGGGACTAATTTTACTAGTACTTTAGTCATTCTGCAAATATTTGCAGCTTAGAGAGAGGGATGGGGGTGGTCAAACATAAAAAATTATATTCAATTATTTATTAACTCAATTTTTTGTTGTCAAAACAGTGGTTCGGAATAAAAATATTTAAAAAAAGAATAATAAATATATGTGTGTGTGTGTGTATATATATATATATATATATATATGTGTGTGTGTGTGTGTGTGTGTGTGTGTGTGTACATAAAACTGTACTTCAAAGCAAAAGCTAAAGGCTTTACCCTTTACCTCTGAATCAGAGAAATAATAATCCGTAAAGAATCTTAACACACACAAAGCTGTCACACACTCTCCAGACATTACTGTACATTCCTCTTTGCCCCCTCTCTCCTCTCCTCTCCTCCAGTGTGGGAAGAAAAATTAATCCATTGAAAAATGCATTTAGTAATGCTGTTCAAATCAAAAATTGCAGAGATTTTTTTTGTTTGTTTTAGATTTCGTGAATACCAAAGGCAAAGTGCATCCCACATTTACATAAAAGATAATATTAAATAGACATGGCCGCATTCAGTCAACTACTGTATATGCAAATTATAATTGAATTCACTTCAACTGTTCAAACGGTTGCAGTTTATTATCCAAGAAAATCCTTTTGTCTCTTTTTTCTCTGTTCAGACATTTTTTTTTTTTATATTTTAATTTAACTTTTACTTTCTTTTTTTTTAAACTAAACTCCTTACCTGCCAATTCAGAGAATGAAACGGTGAAGTGGGCAAGATGATGATGACAACGATGATGATAATGATGATATTATAACATTAAAACAAAAATTAAAAAGTCAAAAAAGAAATCCAGCGGGTCCGAACAGGTTTGGCTGGCTCACGAGTGCCGCACACAGGCTGCGAAGAGGAGGAAGATGCTTAGTCTTAAATGGAAGTTGTAGATTTCTAGGAGATGGAGGGAGTGACCCACAGCAAACTCTGCACACAGACAGAAGAGAGTGAATTAACAGCCCTCCCTCTTTCCTCTTCTCTCAGACCCTCTGATACCTTGTGGAAGTGGACACTCATTAACACTGGTTGTGTTTACGGCCTGCCCAACTTCCCCAGAATCCTGAAGACACCCACCCCTTTTCAGACCAAAACAGTACACACAATGAAGAAATTATTATTTCTTGCACACACACTCAAGTATTACTCACTAGCAAATTACTATGTATGACGTTATTGCATAAAGCTTCTCCTACTTACAAGAGCTGAAGGAATCTCACTGCCTTGCTTTGCATCCATCTTACTGACCAAGACCTGCTTTTACAAAGAGCAGTCAAAACAAAACGATTGGAGCAATCAAAGAGACTCTTTCATATGTCTTCTCTAAAACTCCAGAAGAGATTGCTGAGAGTTGTCACAAACTTTGCTTTGGAAGACCGTAATCAGTCTGATATTTCAATATGAACGTAAATATTTGTCATCAGATAATTCCATATCCAAATTACCTATGCAGTGCTCTTAACATAAATATTATAGCTCCATTAACTCACTGTATTTTATCAGTTGACTTGAAGTTATTTTGCCCAACACAATTTAAGAGAAACATCGGAGACAAAGTAGACACGCAAAAGAAGCAGTCCCTTGAAATACAAAGTGAGCTTTAATGAGCAATAGTTTTTTTTAACTACCAGCATTACTAACTCCGTACTTCCACATTTTCTACAATCTGCGTCCACAGAATTTAAAGTCTTCACAAGCATCAATAAAAAAAATTTATAAATAAAAAAAACAGGTGTCAGCACTAATAAGGAGACATAGCAAGCAGATTATTGGCAGGGGTCGAAGTCACAGGTCAGGTGTCAAATTTATGACATCATCCTATTTGTGTTTTAAAGCAGCACTATGTAACTTTTTCTGTGTTCAAAATTTGCAAAATGTATATAACGAGCGAGTCCATCATATGAATTCATCTTCCAAACCGCTTTTTTGTCTTATACCGAATCACTACGGTACACTTATAATCAGTGTTGGGGAAAGTTACTTTTAAAAGTAATGCGTTACATTACTTTTGAGTTACTTTTTAAATCTGGACAGGGCTTGCCTGATTGTTTTTAATATAAAAAAGTCCTTTTACAAATGTAAAAGCCCTTTCACAACGAAAGTGAAATGAATATGCCTCGGGCTGAAGGAAATGTAAACTCACGTCTGTACAGTAGAGGGCGCCGCTCAAACAAATCACATGAAGAATATGATGCAGGAGAAGAAAGTTCAACGCTATTCAGCAATAACAAAAATAAAACACAAATGTGCAATTTTTGCTTATTAGTATGGTTGAATTGGATCATCAAAGGTCAGTAGCAAAGACATTGGATAATAAAATGGGATTAAATACATGAATGATATTTGTCTTATTTAACATTTAATTATTGCTGGTTTGTATAATATTCTGAGCTTGCATTTGACTGTTTTTATTCATTTTGAGGAACACTGAATCTGTTTTTGTGCAGGTGAGATGAGTAAATGCATGATCACATTTAGTCTAGAACTGCAGTAACATCATGTTCACACAGCACACACAACACCTCTGCATTTACTCCCGATTTCTCTCAACATGGCAACAAGAGAGCTGTCAGTCAATACATGGGAAACAAAGTAACTGGAGTTACTTACTTGAAAAAGTAACTCCGATATTTCCTTCTAAATTAAAAAGTAATGAGTTACTTAAAAAGTAATCTGATTACGTAACTTGCGTTACTTGTAATGCGTTAACCCCAACACTGCTTATAATAAGTACTTATATTTGGACTATTGTAGCCTGGTCGGGTCGTCACCGCTGCGGAGTAACACATACCTGTGTGAATCGCCATAGACATAAACCAGAGAAGTAGCTCCGGTTGGAATGTTCTTCTGTGGGATGTGTGCAGTTCTGTTTATTAACCGCTAGAGCACCAAAAGTTACATAGTGCTGCTTTAAAGGAACTAATAAAGCAGAAAGGACATGAATTATCCAAGCTGATTCTGGGTGGGCAACTTTTAACACACATAGTTCTGCGTCAGACACTTTCTTTTCATTTTTAATCACATTTCAGAATAAAATGCATGTGAAAGTGTCATTAAGCAGCCAGATGGAAAGGAGGAGAGCTGAGTGATCATGGAGGTGATGTGGTGTATCACACGGGTTGGAAAAAGCGCCGTTGATCGCTGTGGGGAAGAGGAAAGAGTGAGAGACTTTCATGTGACTTCTAGTAGATTCTGGATTTTGGCCCAGTGCACACAGTCTGAGGTCTGCACTCCTCTACACTCGGGTCTGGGGTTATGGCCAATATAACAACACAGAATTTATGCATAAGCTGGATCGTGCTGGATAAAAGTTTTACACAATCATGTTGAGATCATGCTCAAGTGCTGCTTGTCATTAAGGCAAATGGGGAACTTCTTCCTCATTTTAACAAGCACTGATGAAGCCACGATACTGATAAGTGGGAACTGATTTCAGAATACGACTTCAATCAGACAGCTGTTTGAATTCATTTATAATTCCTAAGCACTTCCTGCACATTCCTCAAAGAAAAAAAAGCCTGGATGTGATGTAGTATCAGCTCAAAGTGATCCAGTGGGAGCCCATTTATACTGGTGTACATCAGAAATGGGAGAGACTGTGAAACCCACTGAAGTGCATAATTGGACTTTGCAAGGTCAAACAGAGTCTTCGGATAATAATGAGGAAAGGAGACACAAAGAGGTAAAGATAAGTGTGCGTTATTCAGAATGTGGCTATTGAGATCCCATAAAACATCCAACAGATCCAGCCATCAAAGGATCCCAGCTGTCTGAGATCTCCTAAAAATAAAAGTCCACACTGACCACAAACATGCCCTCCTACAGTGATGTCTGCTTATGCAACCCAACTGAATGAATTCAACTCTTCTGACATTTCCTCAATCGACAGGAAAAGCAAGAAGGGTACAGGAACTC